TTGATCGAAGAAAAATGGAAATTCTCGACCACGACCGGCCATTACAGTTAAAGCGATTTGATCCGGTGTCGCACACATTATCAGTCTTTTTTAGGGCTTGACGCAAGCGACTCGGTCCTCTAAACTCAGCCACCTCGCACGGCATCTTCTTCACGCATCTTCAAAAGTATGTGGGTTGCTGTGGGAAACATTAAAATCTTTTGTTCAACTCTTGCTCAACTTTGTGTTAGATTTCTAATGCTAGCCTTCGGTTCCAGGAGAAAGACGGAGCTCTCAGGGATGTTGTGGCTCAGAAGCAGCATTTCTTTTCGAAGAGGGAGTATTGTCACGTACTGAGAGAATCAAGCAATATTCTTCAACGGTCATTTGGGTGCAAGGTGACTAATTTATCTATTTATTCGCTTAGTTCAGAACTTGAAAACCAGAATTTGTCGAATAACATTTCTCAGGTCGTACATCGAGCCAATCAATCTCATGTTGTTCGGATGGAGCCGGCACAAGGAAGCTGTCCTGGAGATACTATGGTGCGTGTTACTGGGCTTTTTTTTGAAAATGCTGATTACAGTCTAGGATATGGATAGTGGTTTAGGCACAGGCGAAGAGAGGTCTGCTTTCCGCTATTCTCATGTTCATATTCTTGTCAAAGAGCAGAAAGTCTAACGTGAACTGCATCACGGAGGTTATGCTGCAGAATTTCCTAGTACGTTCCTGTATTTTACTTTCACCAGTTTTATCCCTCGGCAGCCGGCGAGGCTTCTAATTCTCTTCGTATTCTTGCTTCTGTTTAGCCTTCCAGGTTTGGTATGGTGGAACACTTTATAGGTCGACGTTTCGAACAAATCGTCGTTTTCAAGACCTAAAAATTGGGTTCGAAGCTCTAGTTCGTAGCCTATAGTGGGGTGTGAGCGGATAGGCTACAAACTAGAGCTTCGAACCAATTTTTAGGTCTTGAAAACGACGATTTGTTCGAAACGTCGACCAATAAAGTGTTCCACCATATCAAACCTGGAAGGCTAAACAGAAGCAAGAAATAATCGGAATGCCCAGGTTTCAAGAAGACCGGACATGGACATATTCTCCGGCTAGTGCTTTAGCCCTTCCGTGACGGTGGTCAGGTCATGCTAGGCGATAGGATTGCATGCTGCACCAGGATGGGATGCAATGATGGGGTAATGGAAAATGCTGTATCGAGAGCAGTGTGAGGCGAGCGCGTGAAGTGCGGACGCTCAGGCATTAATTGGACTTCGCTCGCGTCGTTTGAGTTGTAGTGCGCCAACTCTCCGTCCACCCGCCTATCTTCCGTTCTCTTCTGCTTTACGACGGATCAGACCTTGAAGGCTTACGTCGAAACTGATGCTCAGGGGGTGTCAAGATAGCTACCGGGATGGGAGGATTATCAACTACATTAGAATGGTAACAGGCGGCGCTTAGCGATAAATTCAAGAGGGATTCAGTGTACCTGGCTGAGAGCAACTCAGGATGGTACGCCCCACGGTCGGAATAAAGCAAGAAAATTTTTTACTAGGAAAACGCAAGAAACGCGACCCATTTTGCCCGTTGTTTTCTCTCATGGACAGGTAACAGCTCAGAAAGTGGACGTATGAAGAAGTTCGTCGCTGTGCCTTTGATGGCACTGTACCGAACCAAGTTTTAATCGTGATGCTCCATTTGCGCCGCTGCTGGGCACGCAGGTCGTACAAATCAACAAGTAAATCAGTGCGCCGCCGCGAATCGCTTTTGGGAGGCGATGACGCGCCTTCGAAAGTGCTCGCCGCTCGAGCGAACCAGCGACCTTTAAGTTGTGAGAGCCGCCAACACTCGACTTCCTGGACAAGGTAACTATTCATGCCGGTTGCCCGCGGGCGGCTACCTCTTTTCGGGAAGTCGCTTACCTTCAACCTTAGTCCATTAGCGTTGGTTACACTCCTTGCTCCGATGTTCACTTACGGCCCCTCTTCAAACCATCACGATGCCCCTTCCCTTCCTGTCTGCTGAGCATAGCAGCCCGTGACCCGCTGGGAATGGGTCTCGAGGGATTGCTCATATAGCAGTCGCAGTGTTACCACAATCATGTCACCACGAAGCGTCAAATTTGCTTTCTAGACTTCACTTGGTCTTCTCTTACGATACACCGGATGCCGTCTTTGGAGACATCAAGAAACTGATTTCTCCTTCACATACTGCCGAGTTCATCCATGATGGTCAGTCATTTTTGTTCATATTTAATCGAAAATACACAACCAACTTATCGCTTGAACCATTCAGGATATATTTCATTCGCAAAGTCATCTGATAGACAAGATACTCAAGTGTTCACATACGATTGGGGCCCTCGCGCAACCTTAGTCTGTGAACCGAAAGTAGGCTTCCTCGTTTTCGTCTGATTGAAATTGAGATGTTGCTGAAGTAATTATAGGCTATTTTGACATCCTTCTGTTCGATTATCAAGGACCCTGAAGTGGATATGTGGGAGGATCAATTGGAGACAGTGAAGAGTCTGGAGGAAGAACGAGAGCAAGTGCTACAAAGTTCCGAGAAGTACCTTAGAGATGAGAAGTGATTACGCGGTTGTTACAAGTGGCTATCACTGTCTCTCGGAAGGTTTGTGTTCTTAGGATCGAAATGTCGCATACACTGCAAAGGGATGATTAGTCTCATATCTTATTCTGGCAATTTCTTTATTTCTTGCCATCAGCTGTGAAGAATTTCCATATATAGCGCAGGGGAATGTTGTGCAAACTCGCACTCAATGCATTCAAAACTACGGCGAACATTTTCATTTCATATTCGCTAAGTCCCCTTCGTACGAAAAAGGAGTGCCCACCCCGGCGCTTACAGTTGTCGGACGAATTCTTGCTCCTCCATGTTCGTTCCCCCTCCCAACTACATTAGCGCAAAGAATTTTTTCCTGCCATGTTACGGTTGCACATCTGTCGTTATCAAAATATTGCTGTTAATGTTTGATCTCAGGGTTTCTCAATTCCTCTACATGGAAACCAAGTTACTACCAGAAATAAATATCTAAAAAAACCAATGTATAAATAGAAGTTCGGCGTGTTTACTATTCGTCTGTCTTTCTGTTTGCGTATGTGTCGTTCGGTTTGCCCTTGAAAGCGAAACTTCTATGTCCCTAGGGCGTGGCCCCCTTTTACAGTTTTTCAGGCAGATTCCTACTTTTTCAATATCCAATTTATCGTACCACTGGCGTCTAAGGTGTCTCGGTTCATAAAGTTTGGGTAGACACACATTTTCCCATTATGGAAAACCTCAGTTGCAGCTCTGAAGCCTGGCTGCTATAACCTCTCTAGGAACACAAATTGGAGACGTTCTTTTGCAAAGATCTCCGGCATTCTCGCAGTTTTCATGTCCGCATTCGTGTAGTTGTTATGCTTTTAAATTAATCATTTATTAAACGGTGGCGATATTATTCACTAATGCTATATAGAGTTCACGAGAGTTTTAAACTTTGCTGTTGGAATAATCTCCAAATTAAATCGATCAAATAACAAACCGCATATCAACAGGTCACGCTGAAGATATAGATACCTCTTCTTTTTTAACTTGAAATCTCGGGCTCAGTTCAAAAGTCCACGAATCCGTCGCCGCGATTAACGCGCGAACATTCGTGATGGCCGCGGACTTTGCACCCAGCCTTAGTAGACGCAGGAAACGGACCATGCACCAACAACTTACTGGAATGACCTTTCCTCTAGAAAAAATCTGGTTCGCTTTGAATTAAGTGCTTAAAGGCACGGGTCGTGACCAAGTCGGTGTGTGTTCGGAAACTAATAGGACTGCAAAAAGGGTATCTACATCGTAAAGAAACACGGAAATTTCTTTTGTTGCGTGGAATAAGTTACGGGACGTGACGTACACAGCACAGCAGCGAAGAGAGGATATACGAGAGAGCACGTCAATATCGAGAGGAGGCCAGGACACGGCGCAATGCCCTGCTTGCCGAAAAAGTCAATAAGGCGGCGACAAGCGCAAAGTCCCAGCAACCCTCATCGAGCATTTTCGGGTCGCAACAGTGCTGCTGTTTCTGTGCTCTGTCACATCACCCATGGAGGGGAGTGCTCCAAGAACCCGTTTGCTAACTTTGTCCTTTTCGAAAGATTCGTGCTTTTGTCGATAAATTCTTACATGATTTATTATGTACATTATTCGTTATAAGTTGAACACATTTTTTTTTTAATATTCAGAACTTTATGAGCTCACGAAAGTGCCCTTATGGACAGGAAACGAAAAGATCATTTCCTACGAATCATTGAGTTGAGCGTTAACATTTCGGAGCTTTTTAGGAGATCCAGGTTGCTTTTCTACCGCCTCATGCTAGCAATGTTGTCCAAGGTGATTTGCACTACTTCCGAAGCCTGAAAAACCGACTTTACGGCTGCAACTTTATAAAACGTGAACTCGCTCCAACCTTATGCGTGCCTCCGATGTCCCTGGTATGCATTCTCTGTTCTACTAATGTCTTCCATAAAGCATCTGAGATGAGATCAGCATGTTGGTGGCAACCGAGGTACCTGAAATAGCATTTTTTTGTAGTTTGCTATCGTTGGTGAGAGTGTGAAGAATGCTCCACTGATATCTATTCCTTGCATTTCTCAACTGTCATCCAATGGTTACCTCGAGGGAGATGCTGTTTCGCGGATGCGGCAAGAGAAGGCAGAGACGCAACTACGAGTCACCAGACGGAGTCCCAGACGCGTATTGTGGGCCATTGGACCACTATAATACCTCTATTTGGCCCAGCAATCCGCTATAGCACGCCAATAATGCGCTTCGCTCCGGTAGCACCTGTGCTCTCTGCCCTCTCGCCGTGCGATGGGCCTCCTGTCGGTACCCCTATCAAAACAGTTGCGAAAATGGTGAAAGGTCCTTTCTTGGAGCCGTACCTGAGCATATCAACACTGGCTCGAATGAATGCGGTCGGGTTGGCGAGATCCTTGCCGGCCAGTGATGTACCCGTATTTCGTGTGCCCTGAATAATGAAACTGATACAGCCGTAATAAAAACGATGAGCCATTTGCCGCTGACTCAATCCCCTCCTGGGATGCGGCACGCATTCTATTTCCATTTATAAATTCGTTAGGCATTGACTGCGATTTGGCCTATACAAAAAATTTATCTGGGAGGACAAAAAACAGTGACTACAAAAACACACAAAAAATACATTGGAGCCTGAGGAGGTCAGCCTATGTGCAAAGTCACTGTTTTTCGTCCTCTCCAAACCAAGCTGGTAGCTCAACCTTAGCGACCCCGGAGGGGTGGAACAGGCTTGTCGCTCGGAGACCACGATCCCAGGCTCTATATCCCCGGACCAACGCGTGTAAGCAGGATCGCCCTGCCCACTGCCTTCCCGAGCTTCTAGTACAACCATAATAACAGGAAAATAAGAGAATTTTACTTTTCTTCCAACTGGCAGGAAATCTGTAATAAATTCCACTGCAGATATACTATCAGTATCTAGTTTCAATCAGAAGTTGCTTTTTGTTAAGTGCGGTACAATGGATTATCTCCGAGGAGTTATGAAATTTGTTTTACTGATTCCATGCTACCAGAAGGCAGTACTTTGTCATTCATAAGGAATGTGCCGTGGACAGTTTCAAAATAGCACATCTGCTAATGTACGAGAAAATTAATCCGAACATTTTCAACAGTAGCGGGGTGTGAAACAAACTTTCGGCCTCAGGCCGGACTAGGAAGACTAACAATAACACAAGTCGGAATCTGAAAATTATTATGACGTACCGTTTCGAAGACTGCATAATTTTCACCAATGTTCATCCCGGAGACCAAGCCAGGTCCTCCGACCAGTCCACAGGCGATATTCGAGATGATATTCCCGTAAAGATTGGGCATCAGCATCACATCAAACTGTTGGGGTCGAGAAACCTACGATGAATCACATCAAAATTTTAAAAGGCCAGCTGTAAATTGAAGGAAGCGTATACGGTGGGAAGCAGCTTTATCAGAAATCACGATATAGTGGTCCAAGGTGCAGGAATGAAAAAAAAACCATGAGAACGTCTCAGAACCCGAAAAATGGGACCCCTTTCTTTGCCTGTTGTTTCCCGTAAGGACAAGAATAATCGGCGCTGCCCTCTTCAACGCTGAAGCTCTCTGCTAAACGGCTGGACTCAGACGACGAGAGGGTGGGTCGGCAGCGGCGGTTATGGCCCTTACGCCGCTGAGGCCATAATCTTTGCTTCGGACATTGCATCGTCCCGGACCATCTCTTGTTAAAGTCGTCTCTCTTACGACTAGGTATATTTCCCTTTTTTTGACATTCAACCTTATAGTGGAATGCTTCCTAAGAAGTACAACCTGGAAACGCCCCTCGACTGAACCTGTTTAGCGCTTCGACCGCTATTGAAGCTCGAGATATCGTTATCATTTACGCTTGACGCGCCATCACCCAAAACGCCCAACTTCTGAGCCGTAGACTCGTCCAAAGGCAACAGGCAGAGTAAGGGTCGCAGTCCTTGGGTTTTTGAGAGTTTGCTCAGTTCTTCTCCACTATCCCATCATTTGATACCTCTGCTTTCCATAATTGATCATCACAAAACAATGGGTGTCGCTGCCTTTAAGTCGTCAAAAACTAAAACTATAATAATTGAAACCCACGAGTTGCATGCAGGCGTTATCGACGATCATTGACTCGAATTCAATCTGTGGATAGTCCGATTTGGCCATTTCTTTCACAACCTAAATCGTCTTACGCATCGAATTGTTTATTTGAATCATACTTTGCAAAGCAGTAATTTAATTGTTCTGAGAGATTTCACTGAAGCCCGACGTCTCATTTTAATACACAGGAGAAACCAATGCAAAATTTCGAAGTAATTTTTAAAGACCAAATATTTCTAGGTGTAACCAAAATTTCCTTTGGGCGATATGTCAACTTCTGATGACACTTTACATTCTCGTCACGATGAAAGATCTTTTGAAAGTGAGCAGCAGTTGATGAGTCTGGAAAGAAACGAAGTTGGCACGTTGCTGATGAAAATCCAAATGACCATAGCCTTGCGAGGTGAAAGCATGATCCACATAGGGAATTTTGTCCCGTACGATGTCTTTTCCGCTACCATCCACCCCCCCCCATCCCACTGCTCATTCCTGTCCTGTACTACTGCTACGTATTCTCTACCCTCAACCCTCTTTCCCTCGATGTCTTCACTTCTGCTGGCTTTTGTTCCTCGAAAAGGCTCGAAAAGCGAAAACTCCTCTTCAACAGTGAATCTCCAATACAGTCGCATCCCGTGAAAGGTCATATAGCGTCCCACAACGCTTGACGCTGGGGACGCTTGACCCTGCCCTCCAAGAAGCTTTTTTGAGGGCAGGGTCAAGCGTCATCAGAGAGCTAAACTTGTGAAAGTCTCGGATGTCCAGCTTTGTTATGTGCAGTAAAATGCAGAAACCACAGGGTAATCTGCTGTGGTTAAAAGGATACATGCTGGAGTAGTACGGCATATTTAACAGTGTAGCATTGACGAGAGCTCGTATTCTAAAAGGCCGGACACCCCACACAGGAGGCCTTGTCGCGCGGCGGGAAGGCAGAGACGCAGACGGATTAGTGGACGAGTCGCAACGCGTACAACAGCGATTTATGTTTAAGTTAGTGAGCGTACAATATCGACCGGACGGCTGACCCGTCTCGTCTGTCTTCTCGTCGCGCAACGAGCCTCCTGTCCTGTCGAGCACCCGGCCACACATTCGACTTCCTTCAGGACGGTCTTTTGAGGCCTACACAATAATCAGCGAGGTCCTTCGATGAGCAAGTGCTTTTATCACCCAGACAACTTCCTACAGTGTAATTGTAATTATTTACTTCGTTATCTTGAATGGGTGAACCCATGGAAAAATTTGGTCTGAGCTTAGGGAGCTTTAGCGGCATTTTCCAAGACCTCCTGAGTCTTTCACGTGACACTAATGTTGCCCATATCTTGCCAAAAATCTTAAATACTCACCTGTAAGAAGAGCCCGTCTCCCAGTTTCTGAATATTCGCCTTATGAACGGCCGTCACCTTCTTGCGATTGTTCAGTGCCGCGTATTCGAATGCCATACGGGCAATCCTCTCAATACAGGGACGAGTTACAATCTAAATTGTATTATGTACGTTCAGCTGAACTTGCTGCTGAAAGGTCTAAAATAGCGAGGTCTGGTGAATTGTGCTCAAAATAAGGTCCGGGACCAAAGTTACGTGCTTAGTGACTGCGGAAGAAAGGAAAAATAAGAAAAGTAATCAGGCCTTTCTGAGGAGCTCATGGCTTTAGGGAACGACGACGAGGGGAACATTCAAAACAGGGCCTCTGGAAACTGCTATGAGGTGTCACTGGGACTAAGCCCAGAATAGGGGCATGGCTAGGGAGAACAAAAATTGCTCATATTCCTCTTCTCCAGGGTTCCTTCCTTTCCCTAAGGGTTTGTTTTCAGTACTGCAACTGGCTCACTCACTAAAATGTCCCCCCCCCCCCTCACGGCAGGAGCGCTCATTCTGATTGTTTCCATAGACGAACCATCTTCATTTTGTCGACCTGTTGGCTCGTAGAGTCGGCAAAATGAGAATGGTTCGTCCATGGAAGAGGCTAATCCAAGCATTCCTTCACTTTACTCCTCCCCCTCCTCACGTGCTCCCACTCGATGACATTGAAGGAAATTTGGATTTGCGGTGGCATTGGAGCGTGTCAACTTCACCTTGTTTAAGCATCAACTGCTGTAGGAACACCCTGGGTGAGATTTCAGAAATTTTCCCTTTGCCACGGTAAACCCTGGGTGGTTCATCCAACCAGCTGCTGAGGCAAAGGAAGCTTTATTAGTGCTCAGCGCATTTGTGGTTGGTCGCCTGGGACCATCAACCGTCACGTTCGCACTTTTTCAAACATTTTGCGACCCCCCCCTCTCCCTCCCTTTAGGGCGTCTCAATGCGTCCTCCCACCACCAACTTTAGTCCAGAAGGCTCTCCCAATACGAAACCCCTCCTTCCTACCCCCGTTTCAATAACCACCCCCACCATCGTGATTGTTTCTAGAGTATTTGATCCTGAGACCAGACGACTCTGCTCACTTTTCCTTCAAAACGGCCGTCGAGTGGGGGTAAATCTCATTGAACTGGCAAAGCCTCCAATTGTTGTCTTCTTTACGCTAGTTCCTAGAACCTTCACGAAGCTTCAAAAAACCCGTCAGCAGGCCACCTCTTTCGATGACCTCCCTTCCCACTATGATCACCTTGCTCAACCCAAAATGCGACCCCTCCACCGAAAATCACAAATGCAGCCCCTTCGTTCGAATAATGCGAACGGACGGTTGACCCGGCCTAGAACACCTCTTTGATGCCATCCATGTACTGCTTCAGTTTGACCTCTACAAGCATATTAAACGCGTCATTCAACTCACCTTGATGCTTTCGACGATCGCCTGGCCATGTCTCGTGTTGAGACCAAGACAGTATTCGCCTTCGTATTCTCTCCGCCGAATCAAAGCACTTATGTCGATATCCCTGAGCAACGTTTTTGAATAAAATTACTCACAGCCCTTGCCAAGTTCTTTAAAGAAGTGAACTTCTCATTGGAAAATCACCTGTGTCTCGTGGGTACCGTAGGAATCGTGACGCAGTGAAGGATATTGGCGTAGAGATCGAGCCTGGTGCGAAGTTCAACATTTCGAGACTTGAACTCAGGTCATCGTGCTTGGTTTCCAATGTTACCGCTCAAAGGAACCGTGTAAAATACTGTGAGAACACGCTTAAAGACGTTTGCTTGATCAGCCCTGTTGATATGCCCATGCATTTGACTTGATTGTATTACATATTTTTCACACACTCGAGCCAAAAATCAAACAATCAATGGTCAAAAGTTAAGTTAGTCAAAAAGAGCCAGAGAAGAGCGCTCGAGTGCAGTATCCAGAGACACAACTCAAAACCGTAAAGCCCACTACGACGGCAAGCCAATAGAAAAAGAAAGAACCCCTTTTTTTGTCCGTCGACATTTGTGGTGTGTAGTCTATAGGCACTCGAAGCTCTTCCTCTTTTCTGAATAGAGAGGATCAAAATATGCCGTGTCACATCAAGGATCTGATGGCAACAAGCCTTGCCCTCTAGAAGTGGAGTGAGCTTAAGCGAAAAGTCCGAAACGGCGAGGCACTACTCTCCCAAATGGCTTCTGGATTAATAAAAGGACTGGCCATAGACAGCAAGGCGTGCCCCTCGTCGGTCGTCAGCCGTCCGCTGAAGTCAACTCTGCGCAACAAAAACTTTGTCCGCAAACGATGCCCTTTCTCCTCTATTTTGCCCTCTTCTAATAAATACAGGTATATTTTCAAAACATATTCGACAAAGACCTTGGCCCTGAATTCTCGCTAAATGCTGTGCTACACAGCCTTCAATATCTATGCAGGTTAAGGTTTTGATCAACCTATAATCTTATACAGAGGTAAAACCAGCGAAATTGTGCCGGTTATACCTTGATTGCAACTTTGGTGTAAGATCAAAGTGTTTGTAAAAAAAAAATGGAACAATGGCATCCGATAAGATTATTTCCATTTCTTTTGATGGCTATGATTGCTGCTTCCAAATCTCCATCAAGCAAATTTGAACTGACTTGCACTGTTTCGAAATTGACAGGAGCCTAAGAAAACAGCCCAACATAACTGTGGTGATGTGGATGAAATAACAGTAATTACATGGCTGTATTGAAAAATGGTACGAATGTGATCCATCATTTCCGGCCCGATACCGTCTCCCGGCAGAGCAACCACTGTGTGACGGCCACCATACTTTGCGAGTTGGAGCTGAAATGAAATGCGCCAACGCATGAAAACAGCTATCATATATTACGATTGATCTCACTTACCCTTTCCCCAGGCAACTTGTGAGTTCTGATCGCCGATGCTGTCGCATTTTGTGAAGGACTGGCCAGAACCGACGAAAGGCTGAGCGGTCGCGCGGCCAGTGGTGTGAGCCGCGATAGCATTTCCCTTTCTTCAAATGAACTTGTTGGAAAATTGGCTAGGGCTAGAGGGAAATGTCAAAAAGAATCCCATGGAACGTCTGAGCATTTCATCTCTTCTTTCTATAGTAACGAGGCAGAAAATGTTGGAATCAAAAAGGAAGGTGATTACTGATGGAAAGAAATGGATAAAGGTGTTCATGCCCGTGGATCGCCACAGCTAGCGTTACGGTAATACGTGAATGGATCTTCTATTATTTTGAAGTACAGTGCATATCTCACCAACAGTCTTCTAGTCAAGAAGCAGTACATGAAAGGAAGAGTCCAGCGGAAGCTTACCAAATGGAGGGAGAGGCGGACCTCCCAATTGTGTGGACCGACACGCAACTCGCACCGAAGGATATGGCCCTAGCGATTTAGCATGGCCATCCCCGCGCGCTATTGGCGCGCTAGTGGACCGGTACGCCTATTTGCAAAGAGAGCGTTAGTGTTTGAGAGGACAGCACCGATGGCAGTTGCATCAATGTCAAATCAACAGACAAGGAATCCCACTTCTCGGGTTATGGGCAATTTTTCCCGATTTTTCTTGTTTCGTGCATCGACCATCTCCAGCTTGATTTCCAATGAGCTGCCTTTTCATTGTAAAATCCGCCTTTGAGATAATGTGAGCTAAGGGACGCCTTTTAGGAAGGAATTAGTGAGTGTTTGCGGGCTCCAAAACATGATGAGCCACGTGTCTAGGAAATTTGGATCTCAAATGACTCCCCTATATCCCACTCCACGCCTCCTCCCCTCCCCAGATTGCTCCACCTCCAACACTCCAACCCCTACATAAGTACGTCCTTCATCTTTCCATCTTACCCTGAGAAGAAATCTTTGAAAAGACTACGCTAACACACAACTTGTACGAGTACGCAGATCGACGGC